CTATTAAATTAAGAAAAAATAAAGAATGAAGAAAAGGATATATGCTGAAATGTTAACAACAGTCATGTCCAGGTATTTGTTTTCCCCTCAGCTTTTTATACATTTCTACGTTTTTTCAATTTCCCTGCAATACATATTATTATTTTGATAATCAATAGAAAGCATAATTGAAATTTTTTTTTTAATGTTTTTATTTATTTTTGAAGGGGAGAGAGAGAGAGTGAGACAGAGCATGAGCGGGGGAGGAGCAGAGAGAGAGGGAGACACAGAATTCAAAGCAGGCTCCAGGCTCTAAGCTGTCAGCATAGAGCCCGATGTGGGGCTTGAACTCATGAACTGTGAGCCGAAGTCGGACGCTTAACTGACTGAGCCACCCAGGCGCCCCAGAAAGCATAATTTTTAATGGGATGGGAGAGAGTTCCATTTCTGGTAATGTGGAGTAGCTGGTATCTTTGGGAATGCTCATCTGATTATAATTCCAAATTATAAAAACAACTATTTAAAACCACAAGAGAGGGACGAAAAGAAGGCAGAAACTGGAGAACTGATCCTTGAAAGAAGATGCGTTGGATGAGATTTGCACTTGGTTCACTGAGGATGCTTTCTAGTTACCACAGTGTGGGCAACTAAAATTCAAGCAGAAGGCCATAGTCTTAATGGCTTCAAAAGTCAGAAGCCAGCTGGCCAAAAGTGAGGGGATAAATTCTAGAAAGGAAAGAAAGATAAGAAGGAGATTCCCCCAAATCTATATAAAAATGTCATCTAACTCTCTGGCTGGCCTTGGAACTGTGCATGTGCAAGGGAAACTCTAAGAAGCCTAATTGAAAACAAAACCTAAAGGAAATTATCTGTTCTCCAAGGAGAGACAGAATTTGAAGTTTGAGTCCGGCGAAGTTAACTGCTTGCTAAAATAAAAATCAACACTCTTCAAAAGAGGAAAACAAAACCATTATTACACAATATGTTAACTAACCTGGATTTAAATAAAATTTTTAAAATGCAAAAAAAAAAAAAAAAAGGAAAAAGAAAAAATATTGAAGAAAAGTCATAAATAAGTTAGTCAGAGATAAATACCTTATGTGGAATTTAAGAAACAAAGTAAAGGAGCCAAGGGAAAAATGAGAGACAGAGGCAAACCAAGAAACAGATTCTTAACTATAGAGAACTGGTGGTTACTGGAGAGGAGGTGGAGGGGGAATGGGTTAAATAGGGGACGTGGATTCAGAAGGGCACTTGTGATGAGCACCGGGTGATGTATGGAAGGGTTGAATCACTGAATTGTACATCTGAAACTAATATTATGCTGTATGTTAACTAACTGGAATGTAAATAAAAGCTTAAAAAAAAAAAAGAGGACAACGGAATCCAGAATCACTATTATGTATCATCCATAATGATAACTATAAAACTTTAAAAATTATCATACATGCAAAGAAACAGAAAAATGTGACAGTTAAGAGGTAAAGCACTAAAAGGACAAAAACAGACCCCAAGATAACTCTTTTGTTATAATTAGTGACAACTAGGTGCAACGTGGGATCCCAAAGTATCTTGTAACAATAACAAAAAGGATATTAGTGAGAAAACTGGGGACATCTGAATAATGGCCTTAGCTTAGTTAATAGTACTGTACCAATGTTGATTTCCTGGCTCTGATAACTATACTTCTGTAAGATGTTAGCACTGGGGGAAGCTAACATCTTATATGGAATATAAGAACATGGAAACTCTCTGAACTATCTTTGTACCCTTTCTAAGTCTGAACTGAAAAGCAGAGATTCAGAGTGAATTACAAAAATGAAAGGTATGTTAACTAACTAGAATTTAAATAAAAATTTGAAAAACAAACCAACCCCCACCAAAACAAAATAAGCCTTAGATTCCTTAACATTAAATTGTTGTTGTGCATGTGATTGTTGTGAAGTTCAACTGGGGATATTTTTGAGAAAATACAGAGAAGAAAATGGAGTAAAAATGAGTTCTTAAAACAATTATAATCTAGTTCTGTTGCTAAGACACTAATGATGTATTTGATCAAATAATTTGATTCTTTTAATATATATTTAAGGAAAATTTAAAAAAAGGAAAAACTACCACTTATCAAATTCAAATGGATGTCAAATGGATGTCAAATGGAATACTACACAGCAATAAAAATGAATTATTAATGCATGCAACAAGAATAAATCTCAAAGACTTTATGCTTTGAGAGAGTGAAAGAGACTAGTTTCAAAAGGCTACGTACTATATGACTCTATTTATATAAAAGTCTGGGGGCGCCTGGCTAGCTTAGTCGGTTAAGGGTCCGACTTCAGCACGGGTCATGATCTCACGGTTCCTGAGTTCAAGCCCCGTGTCGGGCTCTGCTGACAGCTCGGACCCTGGAGCCTGCTTCAGAACCTGTGTCTCCCTCTCTCTCTCTCTCTCTCTCTTCCTCCTCCGCTTGCACTCTGTCTCTCTCTCTCAAAAATAAATAAAGATTAAAAAAAAATTTTTTTAATGTCTGGAGAAGGCAAATACAGTGATGGAAAAGAGCTCATTGGTCACCAAGGGTTAGGGATAGAGAGTGGGTGTGACTACAAGGGTACAGCACAAAAGAAATTTTTAGGGTGATAAAAGTGAATTTTGATTATACTTATATCAATCTACATATATGTTAAAATTCCTAAAATAGGGGCGCCTGGGTGGCGCAGTCGGTTGAGCGTCCGACTTCAGCCAGGTCACGATCTCGCGATCCGCGAGTTCGAGCCCCGCGTCGGGCTCTGGGCTGATGGCTCGGAGCCTGGAGCCTGTTTCTGATTCTGTGTCTCCCTCTCTCTCTGCCCCTCCCCCGTTCATGCTCTGTCTCTCTCTGTCCCAAAAATAAATAAACGTTCAAAAAAAAAAAAAAATTCCTAAAATAAAAAAAAATAAAAAATAAAAAAAGGAAGACCAACGATATGCTGTCTACAAAAAACTCATTTTAAAAATAATATTGCACACAGGTTTCCTCTAAAAGATTCTAACTTCTTTCAAAATTTGCTATTTCAAATGTCCTATGATCCCACTAGGAGAAATTAATAGAGTAATGGAACCATTAAGTGAGATTATAGGATCTATTATGATCTGGAATAAGGATAAAAGCTTTTGGTACAATGTGACATATCTGACTCTGACAACTTTTCAGCTTAAGAATAATATTATTGTTTAAAATGTAAAGTCAAATTTGTGAATATTATAATAATGTTTTTGTATGGCAAAGAAAAAACATTTTTACTGTGGTAAAAAAAATTCTGACCAACTCAGAAAAATCTTGAAAACAACTTCCATATAAGTTGAATATGAAATTCAGTGTAAGACATGCTTGCCCTCTGTCCCTAATAATGATTTAATCTAATTTTTAAAAACTTTGATCGACTTCCATTTTGGGGAATAGAGTGAACCAAATACCCTGAGAAACTATTTGCTACAAACTCCTAGAAATGTTGGGTTGAAGACAAGAAACTTTTTAAAAAAATGTGTGGCTAACTTGAAAGGAAGGATTTCTTCCCCTAGAGGCCAAAACAAAGAGGGAAATAAAGGCAAAGCAGTGGTTACAAGAAAGGGCACTATAGCTGCCCATGGAGGATTTTCTCTCAGTGACATAGGGGCTCGGGATTTAATACTCCTTCAAATACAAGGACCCCATCTCTACTCTACCACCTCTATGTCTATCTAAGGGATCTTCAAAGGGCTAAAATGTAGACTAAAACAATTCCCTTATTGGCAGAGAAAGGCAGAGTTGATGGAGAAAAATAAGTCTTTTTAAAAAATGTTTATTTAGGGGCGCCTGGGTGGCGCAGTCGGTTAAGCGTCCGACTTCAGCCAGGTCACGATCTCGCGGTCCGTGAGTTCGAGCCCCGCGTCGGGCTCTGGGCTGATGGCTCAGAGCCTGGAGCCTGTTTCCGATTCTGTGTCTCCCTCTCTCTGCCCCTCGCCCGTTCATGCTCTGTCTCTCTCTGTCCCAAAAATAAATAAACGTTGAAAAAAAAAAATTAAAAAAAAAAAATAATAAAAATAAAAAAAAATGTTTATTTATTTATTTTGAGAAAGAAAGAGAGAGGGTGCACACAAGTGGGGGAGGGGCAGAGAGAGAGAGGGAGAGAGAGAATCCCAAGCAGGCTCCGCACAGTCAGCGCAGAGCTCAACACGGGGCTCGATCTCCTGAACTGTGAGATTGTGACCTGAGCCGAAATCAAGAGTCAGATGCTTAACTGAATGAGCTACCCATGTGCCCCGAAAAATAAGTCTTTTATAAGAATTTGTAAACATCCCTTAGTTGGATTTGGAGTTGAAATTTCCACTACAGCAATGTACGGATGTTCCCAACCAAAACATATAAAAAACTGTCCTAAGTCAGTATAGTCCTTGGTACCAGCAAAAGCAAACAAAAAGCATTTCAGAAGAGATATACCCTCACTCTAGGTGGCAGCTGAATTCCCACAAAGTACAGGTATAAGCTTAAATGATGAGTGCTCAATCCAAAATTAGAAAATGTATAAAAATACAAACCATTTTGAGTAAGGATTAGCAGAAATGACAGAGAATTAGTACTCCAAGGACTCTGGATAATAACAGAAATTATAAAATAAAATGATGAAAATTATCTAAGAAATATAAAAAAAAATCACACTAGTGTAAAAGTGTACACAGACTTGAAATAGAAATGACCCATCTGAAGAGAATTAGTGAACTGAAATACAGAACTGAGGAAATAATGCAGAATGGAACACAAAGAAACAGGTATAAAATACAAAAGGTTAAGATAACAGGTAAAAAAGAATGTCAAGTACCAACAAATTTCCAACAGAAATTACAGAAGAAAAAAAATAGAGATCAGGCAGGGGGACAGTATTTGAAGAGATACTGGCTGAAAATATGCCAGCATTCATGTGAAAAGCTAAACTACTTCTTAATGAAAAATTATATATTGAGGAACTGAATTTCAGAAACTAAGTATCAAAATTTTATAGGCAACTCACATGATTAAATCTTCTTGTGAAGGCAACAGCATTTGGTGCAGAACTGTATTTTTCTTTTTTATTCCATCCACAACTTGAAAGTTCCTGAAAAAAATAGGTTAAAAATAAGTTCATGAAATAGCCCAGTTTTCTTATTATATTAAGGGTTTCACAACATTAAAGACAGTTGTGTCGGGGCGCCTGGGTGGCTTGGTCGGTTAAGCGTCCGACTTCGGCTCAGGTCATGATCTCATGGTCCGTGAGTTCGAGCCCCGTGTCGGGCTCTGTGCTGACAGCTCAGAGCCTGGAGCCTGTTTCAGATTCTGTGTCTCCCTCTCTCTCTGCCCCTCCCCTGTTCATGCTCTGTCTTTCTCTGTCTCAAAAATAAATAAACGTTAAAAAAAAAAAAAAAAAAAAAAAAAAAAAAAAAAAAAAAAAAAAAAAAGACAGTTGTGTCCCCTCCTAGAGCCATTTTATTCAAGAGGAACATATCTAATACTGTAACCATTCAGTTAAATCATAAAAACAAATTTTACCCGTAGAATATAAGAGGGCAAAATTACCTGTCTATTAGAACACAGGTAACTAGACCTACACTCCACAGGGAGATTGGTGGATTCTCCTTCTGAAGATATCGGAGTGTCAACAGAAGGACCTACAGATAATGAGAGCTAGGCTTCCTACAACGTACAGTGAACCCTACTAGCTGTCAAGCCCCATTCCCAGTCAGTTACTCAGAGCTTCCAATCAGCTTTCCAGTACCTTCTTCTTTGAGCTGACAGCCAACTACCCCATATATGTCATGAAACCTCTAATAAAAGGGCTCTTGATACCCCACAGGGTCTGTCAAGAGAATTCAAAGGGCTCAATAAACTTAAAAACTTAGATTTCTATTTTATACTAACTTCTGATATGACATTCCTTTTTATCTTAAATGTAGAGTACAGATTACAGAAGAAATGGCAATGCATGTGACGTTACCACTGATAAAAATCACAGATATTTTCATTTTCATATCACATTACAGTTAGTGCAGATAGCTCAAAACTATCATTGATACTCATCACTAGTTTGATATTATGAGCTCATCATCTCTGGATCTTACTTAATGTTAACATAAAAGCACATATATATTGCTATGTGACAGTTTTACAAAATACTTTGGGAAGTGTATTTTAATAGGATTGATTTCCTTTGATTTTAAAGAAGGGTTCAGATTCATAGGCTTCATTCAGGGGCCAAGGGAGTCCAAGGTTCAAAACAGGTTAAAGATCCTGCTATAATACCAATAACCACCACCAAAAAGAGATAGAATCTATAGGAAAAAAAAAAAAAGACTCTGAGGAAGCTGAGTTAGGGAAGGGAACCAAAAAAACTGAGAGAAGAGAAAGACAAAACCATGTATTTACTACTCTCAGATAAGAATAGGTATTGCTCCCATTAGGCAGAAACAGAAGGATACATTCTATTCAGAGAACAAAACACAGCCTTTGGAAATGAAAAACACACTAAGGGAGATTTTAAAAATCACTGTAAGAGTTGTGAGATAAAGGTGATAGAATCTTTTAAAAAATAAGCTCAAAACAGGATCCAAATATTCTGTTAATTAAGAGAGTCCGTAAAAGTCAATGTCTGAATAATAACAGGAGTTTTATAATCTTTTTAATGTTTGTTTATTTTTGAGAGAGAGACCGAGTGTGAGCGGGGGAGGGGCAGAGAGAGAGGGAGACACAGAATCTGAAGCAGGCTCCAGTCTCTGAGCTGTCCGCATAGAGCCCACATGGGGCTTGAACCCACAAACTGCGAGATCATGACCTGAGCTGAAGTCAGACCTTAACCAACTGAGCCACCCAGGTGTCCCAATAACAGGAATTTTAAGAGAGAACAGAGAAAATAGAGAAAAATAACTTACCCCCCCAAAAAAATTTTTTTAGTTTTATTTTAGAGAGAGGGAGTGTCTGTGTGCATGGGCATGCAAGCAGGGGAGAGAGGGAGACAGAATCTTAAGCAGGCTCCCTGCTCCGCACGAAGCCCAACATGGTGCTCCATCACGTGATCCTGGGATCATGATCTGAGCTGAAATCAAGAGTTAGATGCTTAACTGACTGAACCACCCAGGTGTCCCCCCCGCCCCCGCTAAATTTTTTAATGCCCCTCCCCTAAGAAGTTGAAGAACAAGATCTGTCTAGTGTTCTTTACAGTGGATTAAATTTTTAAAACCCTCAAAACAAGGCCTAGCCTCAAAAAAACTGTAGCACACTGGAGACTAAGAGATTAAATCTGTAAGATTCAAAAACAAAACAAAATAAAACTAGATCACACGCAGATCAAAGTATCAGATACCTCAACAGCAACACTGAAAGATAAAGACAACTGAAAACAAAGTCTTCAAAATCCTAGAATTCTGTCCAACAAAAAAATGAATTAAGTATGAAAGTATACTACAGACATTTTCAGACATGCAAGTGTCAGAGAATTTGTTTTCTAGGGACCTATTCTCAGCTAGGAAAATATGTGGTTCCTCAAAACAAATGAGCAAATTAAGAAAAAAAAAAAGACATGGGATCCAAGAAACTGAGGAACCAATACAGAAAGAAAATATTGCAAAACCCAGTTTATCAATAAAGGGAGATCCTGGGACATAGCTGTGAGCAGAGCTTAAGAACAACAGTCCAGATAGTAACTAAGCAAGAGGTAAGAGATTCCAAGAGAGATACCTCTCAAAAATGAAACAATACCCAAGTGTTTGAACACACTGAGAAGACACATTCACTATATTCACTTCTGGCAGAAGAATTAGTGACAAGTATAGAGAAAGCTTAAGTAAGTTGTTAGCTCAAGGAACACAAAATTTAAGTAATCATGGCTTCACTGTAAAGAACAGTTGAGCCATGATTACTTATTCATGTTGAAACTGTGACATAACTATATGCGAAAAAGAGGAGGAACAGAACTGTATAAAGGTCAAGGGAAACAATATAAAAGTGTGAAATCATTTTCTATAGTACAGAGTCAATATATCATATCTAAAATTTTAAAAATCAGGGGCAGCTGGGTGGCTCAGTCAGTTAAGCATCCGACTCTTGCTTTCAGCTCAGGTCACGGCCTCGCAGCTTTGTGGTTTCAAGCCCTGCATCAGGCTCTGCACTGGCAGCTCAGAGCCTGCTTGGGATTCTCTCTCTTCTCTCACTCTGCCTCACTCTGCCCCACTCTGCCCCACTCGTGCTATCTCTCTCAAAATAAATAAACTTAAAAAATTTTTTAAATCATAAACAATAGACATTTAGACATATTATTTGAAAACTGGACATAAATTCCTGCAAGAAGGAATAGTTAAGGCACTGGATGAGCATGGGGCTCAAGGGTGGAGGCCGGTGGAAATACGGGACTTCTTAAATGTGATGCATGCCTGTCTTCCATAAAATTTTAAAACAGAAACAGAAAGAAATGGACTGAGGAAACAGTTACGGTGATACTACAAAATCTAACTAAAACACAAAAATTAAGGTAATGTTTGTTTCCTTATATTGGAAAAAGTGGTAGATTCAAGATATCTTGGAGGCAGGCAGGATCTGGTCAAAAATTGGATCCACACAATGTAAGCCAAGAATGAGGTGTCCAGAGGTACCAAGACTCCCAAGTTTTCGGCTTGAGTAATGGAGATGAAGAATACTAAAGGAAGAAACGGCAATCATTGCTTTAACACAGCGGACAAGCAGTAAATGCTCCGAAGATACCAATTACTTTTTTAAAATCTAAAGCTAGATCACAACCTTCAGATTACTAAAGGAAAATATGGAACAGAAACAACTCTACAGTAAAAAGACAACTGCTTGTTAGCCTAGATACAGGCTCATTTCACATTACCTCCTTGTACAGACAGAAAATATTTAGTGACAGATACTACACGAACATGAAAATGACATGACAGCTATATTAAAAACATCAAACTTCTAGAAAATATTTTTTCTAAAAATATTAATATAACCATATTAATGTAACTACATAAAGATGGCATATTTTAGGACAAAATTCCTCGGATTAGATGTACAAATACTGAGCTCATTTTAAACCAATTAATATAACTTCCAAATACATATTAATGCTATTAATATACAGTGTCTGTGTCAAATTGATGTCAACATAGCCATTTGATAGAGTTCAAACTCAGTTATGCAGCTTTACACAAAACGTAAATGTCATTTTCCTGTTATAAGTAAGGCTGTACCATAAGTAATGAATATCCTTGCACCTTCTCTGACATTTCTGATCATTTCCTAAAAATATAGTCCTAGAAGTAAAATCACTAGGTCAAAGAGTCTGAACCCTTTCAAGGCTTTGACACCTGTCAAACTGCCCTCCTGAAATACCGAGTCACTTATACCACCACTACTGAGTCACTTTTCCAACAGTCTCACCAAATCTGGGTATACTTATCCTCTTTTTGTATATCACTACTTTAATTTCCCCAACTGTAAGGAAGAGGTGCCTTTGTTAAAAGAAGTGAAAAGGGGGGCGCGTGGGTGGCTCAGTCAGTTAAGTGTCTGAGTCTTGATTTCGGCTCAGGTCATGATCTCAAAGTCTGTAAGATCAAATCCCATGGTGGGCTCTGTGCTGACAGTGTGGAGCTTGGGATTCTCTTTCTCCCTCTCTCTCTCAAAATAAGTAAATAAACATTTCTTTAAAAAAATTGAATGAACAAGATTTGTTTTAAAAAGGAGAGAAAAGGGAGGGTGGAGGCTGTGAATCACTTATAAACCCACCACTGAGAGAAAACCTATGAAAACACCTTCCCAATCTTGTTTATGTGCAAAAGGGGGCCTACTCTTTTGCTTGTTTAAAGTAGCCAGTACTTTTATTGTCCTCTTCTGTGTGATTTAATCTTCTGGTTTTATGCTTAAAACCTTCTCATCCAGAGAACAGGTGTCTTAACAGCAGCAGTGAAAGAATTAACACTAACAGAGATTACCATGTGCTAGGCACTATTATAAGTGCTTTATACATACTCACTTGAACCTATCTTCACCATTATAAATTATGATAAACAAGGAACCCAGTAAAAGTGTCAGTGAATTATGGCTTTATTTTTTTACACGAAAACCTTT